ATGCAGTTCTAGCAGCCACCATCAGATGGCGACAGAGGCTGCTCGTGGCTGGCCCGTTTAGATGTCACCTGGGTTCCAAGGACAGCAACTTCTTTCGGGGGCTGTAGACGGCACCCTTCCGGGCTGCTGAGTCCCACTGCCTGATTTGCATCCTCTGGGTCCAGCCACTTTGGGAGTTAGGAGCAGGACTGTGGGAGCCCCTCAACCTGCCTGTTCCAGGGCTCAGTTTCCCCATCTGGTCCACCCCAGCTCCACCCTGTCCAGCCTCTGCTCACTCTACTGCCTACTACCCTGAGTTTTTAGGGTCACAACGTGTCCCCTTGGGGCCAACCAGATGTGGGACAGAAAATCAGGGATGGGTAGGGGGTGGGGACAGAGCCAAGGTAGAGCCAGGGTTCTTTTTCTTTTTTTTTGAGATGGAGTTTCACCGTCACCCAGGCTGGATTATGGTGGCATGGTCTCAGCTCACCACAACCTCCACCTCCCAGATTCAAGCGATTCTCCTGCCTCAGCCTCTTGAGTAGCTGGGACTACAGGCGTGCGCCACCATGCTGGGCTAATTTTTGTATTTTTAGTAGAGGCAGGGTTTCACTGTGTTGGCCAGGCTGGTCTTGAACTCTTGACCTCAGGTGATCTGCCCACCTTAGCCTCTCAAAGTGCTGGGATTACAGGTATGAGCCACGGTGCCTGGTCTTGGAGCCAGGGTTCTAAAGCCAGGTGAGCAATCACGAGTTGGGGCAGAGAGAAGGTGTTGGCCATGGAGCCAGATAGGAATATGTTGGGCATACCTGGGGCCGGGCCAGGCCAGTCCTGGCCAGGAGACTTTGCCTTCGGCTGTGTTGACATGCAGCACCCACACACAACACTCAATTCCTCACTCCCCAGAGACGTAGGGAGCCCATGCCTTCTGTTGGGAGTTTCTAACCACTTGGGTACTTGGTTTGTTGACAGCCTTCCCTGTTTCCTCTCACTTTGCAAGAAGGAGGGAGTCAGGTCTTTGAAAAACTAACAACTCATCAGTGCCAGGAAGGGTCTAAGGGGGTCTGGCAGCAGAGGGAACAGAAAAAAAAACAAGGAAAAACTCTAGCAGAGGTCCCCCTAGGGAGTTACGGCACAGTGGGCTGGCGTTTGGGGTTCAATATGATGGACAGATGTGGGTTCTTACAGGCAAGCAATCTCGCCTCTCTGAGCTGTGAGGCATATGGATTCACATGTGTACATAAGGGAGTTCAACAAACATCTTCAAACAGCCCCAAGGCTTGCACAGGCACATCCACATCCCTGATCTCATTTTAAGTCTCCCAGCAGCCCAAGGAGTAACAGGGCAGGCAGGCTATAGCGCTGTGTTCCCATTTCAGCCAGGAAGGCTGCTTCAAGAAAGGACGCATCTGTAGCGCAGGGCTCTGACCTTCCCCGCCGTGTGGCGCCATTGTCATGGTCTTGGGGCTTCCTTTGCCCTTCACCAGCCTCCCACCCTTCACCCACCTCCCACCCTATCCTCATCCATGATGTGATCCCTGGTTGGGACTCATCAGAGACACCAGCAGGCAGGGCCCAGAGGCCGCCCTCTTGCCACTGCCACCTCTGTGCATCCCTGGGGATGAGCCTGGCTGGGGTGAGGCTGAGCAGTGGCTCGATGCTATATTGATTCTTTTTCTTTCTTTCTTTCTTTTTTTTTTTTTGATATAGAGTCTCGCTCTGTCGCCCAGGCTGCAGTGCGGTGACTTGATCTCTGCTCACTGCAACCTCTGCCTCCTGGGTTGAAGCGATTCTCCTGCCTCAGCCTCCCGAGTAGCTGGGATTACAGGCACCTGCCATCACGCCTGGCTAATTTTTGTATTTTTAGTAGAGACAGAGTTTCACCATGTTGGCCAGACTGGTATTGAACTCCTGACCTCAGGTGATCAGCCCGCTTCAGCCTCCCGAGATGCTGGGATTATAGGCGTGAGCCACCGTGCCCGGCCTGATTCTTTTTCCAGATATGCAGACCACTGGTCTCTGCTCAAATCTGTTTTTGTTGATTTGTAACTTAGGTGAAACGCACAGATCTTAAGTGCTCCTGGTGCCCTGCTGAGCTCCGCAGTCCCCTGGCTGCTGGGCCAGGTCCCGTACCTGGCTCCTCTCTCCAAAGCGGAGAAGTTATTTCCATGCCAGGCCCCTGTGATTGGTTTTGGGGCCTGGATGGAGCAGTGACTCTGTGGACAGGAAGACTTGGGGTACGCTGAGGCTCCCAGGCCCCTGACTGTGACTACCGTACATCTGCCTACAACTTCCTCTTCCCCTTCATCTTGACCAGAGCATACCCAGGACCAAGCCGGCGAGCAGGTGACCAGTCGTCATGACCAGCTGGTGTGGACTAAGGCCCGGGGACTGTGGGACATGCTGGGGCATGGGTTGTTGAAGCTGCCTCAGCCTCTGGGGGGTGCAGGAGGGGTGGGGAAGCTTCCCCAGAGATGGGCATGGGAAGTCCCCAGGCAGGGTCAGGCCCTTACAGCTGGTCTCACTCAGGCTCTTGGGGACAGGAAGCGAGATCTTCCTAGTCCCCAGTCTCTGTCCTTCCCCAGTGCCCTCCCCCTGCAAATCTCATTAGGACCTTGAGTACACAACTCAAGGCACACATAGCAAAAGCACCAAGCGGCAGTTGGTTCCCTCCAGAGGTCAGCCTGCCCCCCTTTTCCATCATCCTGTGCTCAGCAGCTGTCAAGCTCTTCGTCCCAATGCAAGGGCCACAGTCATGCAGGCCCAATCCTGCTTCTCAGCCCTGGGTGCCCAGCCTCTGGGCTGCCCTTGAGTGGCACCTGTGGGACCAAGGCCCTCCCTCCTTCAGGCTCAAGGGGAGGAAGGAACAGAGAGGATGGGGAACAGCCAGACTGCCCCGGTGGGAGGGTGGCTTTGAGATTGGGCTGCTTTCAAAAGGGAAGCTCTGCTGAGAAGTCCTGTAGCTCCTCCACTACCCACATCTTTTCTGGGGACCCTGCGGTTCACAGGACTCAATGCTGCTGCTGCAGGTCTTCCCAGAAAACCCCCCACCCCACATCACCACCAGCTCCCCTCACTGGCCTCTGAGCATGTGTGTCCACACCAGGAAGAGGCTCCAGAGCCGATCAGACGTTTTGTGGCTGTTGTGTGACCCCCTCTCCTCCCCACCCTGGGAAATGGGCCTCAGCTCATGCTCCCCCGAGTCATGTCACCTGATGGCCATCAGCACATGGCCGGAATGTGTCACTTCCCGAATTCTCTCAGGTTTTGTGGTTGTTTTGCACCATTTTGCTTCTTCCTTTGGGTTTGTGGACAGGATGGGGTGATCAGGATGGGTGTGGCGGGGTGAGTCCCCGATCCCTTGCCCTTTACAGTAAGTCAGGTGTTTCTCTATGTGCCTAAGGAGAATTGCATCCCAGGGATTATCTGTAAAGTACCCTTCTCCCTATTGAGTCCAGTTTTCCTATTACCTTTCATCAAAGGCAGAAGTGTATTCCCTCAGGAGAAAACTGACCTGAGGATGTTGAGTAACACTGACATTTGAGTATTTGTATCATCATCATACTACTTTTTCCCACAGAGGAGCTGTCATTACTGATGTTTCACAGAAGCCATAGGCTTTGCTCAAGGTCATTCGGTGGTAAGTGGACAAGCCACGCCAGAACGCAGCCTTCTGCTTCTCTCTCTGGCCTGGACGTTCAAGACTGCAGCAGTGCCTTTTTTGGTCATGGTCGAATCAAAAATAATTTTTAGGAAACTTTGCAATGATCAGGCCACATAAACCACCGAATGTGATGCATCTCCTGTGTTTTTATGTTCAGCTCAATAATGTCGCCAACCAAAGTGTCTTGGATCTTTTTTTTTTTTTTTTGAGACACAGTTTCCACTCTTGTTGCCCAGGCTGGAGTGCAATGGCACGATCTCGGCTCACTGCAATCTCTGTCTCCCAGTTTCAAGTGATTCTCCTGCCTAAGCCTCGTGAGTAGCTGGGACTACAGGTGCCCGCCACCAAGCCTGGCTAATTTTTTTGTATTTTTAGTAGAGACTGGGTTTCACCATATTGGCCAGGCTAGTCTTGAACTCCTGACCTCAGATGATCCACCCACCTCCCAAAGTGCTGGGATTCCAGGCGTGGGTCACCGCGCCCGGCCAGTGTCTTGGATCTTGATGAGCTTTAGTCTCTGGCTGCATGGTAATAGAAATTCCCATGATGTCCTCCAGGCTCTGTCCTGGAATCTTCCAGCAGCAGAGCCCACAGGCTCCATGACGTCCTGACACCTTCCTGTGGCCAGAAGGAAGAGGAAAGGGAAAATTTCCAAAAGGAGCCAGAGGGAAGGACATTATTGGGACCCCAGAGCTGGCACAGGGCTCCGTGTGGGTGGACACTCTGAGCTTGGGGACTGCAAGGTCCCAGGTGATGCATTTCACATTAGTACTGGCATTTTCTGGGCTCTCCTGGTCATTCTGTACAAGCTGGGGTACTTACACAAGGCGCGTGTGAGACTGTGTGTTTGTGTGTGTGGGAATGTGTCCGTGTGTGTGAATGTGTATGTCAGTTGTGTGTGTGGATGTGTTTCAGTGTGTGTGAATGTGTATGTGTGAATGTGTTTGTATGTATCAGTGTGTGTGAATGTGTGTGGATGTATCAGTGTGTGTGAATGTGTGTGGCTAGGAGTGTGTGTGTGTGAGTATATGTGTGTGAGTGTGTGAATGTGTGTGGGTGAGAGTATGCGTTTGTGTGTGTTGAGGGTGTATATGTGTGTGTGAATGTGAGTTTGTGAATGTGTGTGTTTGTGAATGAGTGTGTATGTGTGTGAGTGTGTGAATGTTTGTGTGTGTGTGAATGTGTTTGTGTGTATGTGAACATGTGTGTGTTTGTATGTGTATGTTTGTGTATGTGAATGTGTGTTTGTATGAGTATGTGTGTGTGTGTGTGTATGTGTGAGTGTATGTGTTTGTGAATGAGTGTCTATGAATATGTGTGTGTATGAGTATGTATGTGTGTATGTATGTGTGTGTGTCTGTGAATGTGTGTGTATGTGTGTATGAGTATGTATGTGTGTGTGTTTGAGTGTGTGTGTATGTCTAGAGTCTGAACTGCGTGTGGATCAGGAAGGAAAAGGGTCCCTGCAGGCTCACTGAGCCCCTGCTGTGCGCCCAGCGCCGAGCTGGCTCCAGTGGGGCTATATAGAAAGGAAGGCAGGGCTGGAGGGCCTCCCTGTCAAGTTGAGGACACATTTCCAAGACTAGGAACCATTTAGGGACTCTGAGGCTGATGACAAGTCCCCTTCCCTGAGTCTGGATCCCCAGGCCTGGCCCCCAAGGGACTTAGGGAAAGGGCTCAGGGAAGGGACTCAGGGAAGGGGAGTTCCCAAGGGCAGCCTCCTCGTAGGCACCGCCCAGGGTGAGAGGAGCCGGCTCAGCGGGCCCCTCCCCCAGGGTTGACCATCTTAACCACAGGGAAAAGAGGGAGGAGTTACTGGCCCTTCCACTAGAAGGAAACCTGGACCCCACAGACCCAGGAGGTGAGAGTCGGGGAGCAGGCCTGCCAGCTACGGGGTCACCACGGGGAGAGGTCTCATCACTAGCAATAGCTGAGGAACCTGCCGCCTCCACCTGGGTTAAGGAGGTCATGCTGTTCCCAGGGGAGCCTCAGCCGGGTCTCCCCAGCTTCCTCCATTTTCTGACTGCCTCTAGGAAAAGAACCAAAAGCAGCTGAACAAGGAAGCGGCGCGGCACCAAGAAAAGCAGAAGTCGGAGGCTTGGAGACCCTCCCTGAGGCGCCGCGGTCCAGGCGCTTTGCAAGTGCCACCTGTGCTGGGGAAGGGGCCATGTGGCTGCCTTGGACTCTGCTGCTCCTCTGGGCCCCAGGTGAGGGGCTTTCTGCCCAGGAAAGTCTGCAGCAGGGAGGGTGTGAGGGGCAGGGCCACAGGGCAGGTGTCACACAAGCCACCCTGAATCTGGACTCCGAGCAGAACGCAGAATGGGGTGTGCTCTGTCCATCTTATATGAAGGATCACGCCCCTGGGAGAGGAAGGGGCCAGCCTCTCCCGGCTCTGCACCCACATACCTTGCCGGAATCACAGCGGCGTGAGTGATAAGGGGTGGCTGCAGAAGAGGGACTTTGTAGGTTTTCAGTTGAATTCTTACAGGAAGGGGGACGAGAGGCAGGATGTGTCCCGGTGGGTGGAGAGTGGCAGCCACTGGCGGCGAGGGACATGTGGGGAGGGTGGGGGCAATGCCTGGCTCACCAGGTGCAGGGTGTGGAGGAAGGGTGGGGGGCTGGGAGGGTGTGGGTAGGGAGCAGGTCATTGGTCTCAGGAACATGGAGATTTAACCAGGGCAGCCCAGAGGCTGGAGTCTGAGCAGGGGGATGTCCTGAGGCCCGCTTGGCTGGGGGTGGCCCCAGCATGGGCCTGAGAACCAGAGGTCAGCCATCTGCAAGGAGGGGATATGGGATAGAGGGGGCAGAAAAGGTGGCAGGGAGGGTGAGGAGGGAAAAGAAACCGGGCAGAGAAGTGCTGATATCTTCTTTAGGGAGAACCGTGGGGTGGAGCCTTCCGTGTCCAAGATCAGGCCTTCCTCCTGCAGTCACCTGCTGTGCCTTTGGTCAGTCCACGTCCACCGCTCTCCTCTGAAGGTCCTGTGCAGACTCTCAGGCCTAGTCCTAGGATATTTGACATCTTTTTGGTTGCTTTCCTTACAGATTGGAGGTGTTTTGTTTTGTTTGTTTTTTGAGAGAGAGTCTCACTCTGTCATCCAGGCTGGAGTGCAGTGGCGTGATCTCGGCTCATGCAACCTCTGCCTCCCGGGTTCAAGTGATTCTTCTTCCTCAGCCTCCTCAGTAGTTGGGATTACAGGCGGGCGACCACGCCTGGCTAACATTTGTATTTTTAGTAGAGACGGGGTTTCACCATGTTGGTCAAGATGGCCTCTGGTCTCAAACTCCTGACCTCACGATCCACCCGCCTTGGCCTCCCAAAGTGCTGGGATTACAGGCATGAGCCACTGCCCCAGCCCCTACAAAGCACCATTTTTATTATCTATAGAAATTATTTTTATCCTTTCAGCTATGAAGGAGGTGAATTACATTAAGAGATCTGGTCAGATTTTTGTCTTGCTATATTATGCTGGCTTCATGAAAAGAATTAGTGAGATTTCCCTGTTTCTGTGTTCTCTGCAAATGTTTAAATACACCTGAAATTTTTTGTACCTTGAAGTTTAGAGAGAACTTGTAAAACCATCTGAGTTTTGCTTCTTTTCTTTTGGTGGAAGGGAAAGAATTTCTTAATAACACTCATCATTTTTGGCCTACATTTTAAAAAATCTAGCTGAATGCAGTGGCTCACACCTGTAATCCCAGAATTTGAGGAGGCTGAGGTGGAAGGATCACTTGAGCCCAGGAGTTTGAGACTGGCCTGAGCAATATAGCAAGACCCAATCTCTTAAAAGAAAAATCTATTCTTGGCCTACATTGGTAATTTAGATTTTCCTTAAAAATCATCAGCGTCGTTCAGGTTGACAGACTTATTTGTAGAGATTTGCAGATTAAACTGTTATATTTTTTTGAATTGTACATCTGTGTCTATTTTTTTGGTCTGGCTACCCACTAGTCTAGTTAATTGTTTGAGGCCAAGCACGGTGGCTCACGCCTGTAATCCCAGCACTTTGAGAGGCCAAGGTGGGGGGATCACTTGAAGTCAGGAGTTCGAGACCAGCCTGGCCAACATGGTAAAACCCCGTCTCTACTAAAAACACAAAATTAGCCAGGCGTGGTGGCTCACACCCTGTAGTCCCAGGCACTTGAGAGGCTGAGACATGAGAGTCACTTGAACCCGGGCGGCGGAGGTTGCAGTGAGCCGAGATTAGGCCACCACACTCCAGCCTGGGTGACAAGAGCGAAACTCCGTCTCAAAAAAATAAAATAATTAGGCGTTTGCCACTTCCAAAAGAAAAATCCATTTTTATTTTTTTTTATTTTTTATTT